TTTAAAGAAGTAAAAATGTGAACATACGCAGCCAAAAGGTTCCAAAAAGAGCAGGGTCATAAAGGATATGCTTTGAATTCTTTTGAAATATCCGCATGGAATTTTGTATAGATTGTAAAGGTTTTGTAATTATATCCTGCTTGTTTGACCCGACAAATTTACTGTATTTTTTGGTTTTTCTTTCAAGTTCGATACATTTTTTTTTTCTGTTATTTATGTTGTGCAAATGATAATTCATTTTTCTTCGTAACTGGATACAGAAAAGATGGCTTTAGCTTTTATTAAATTGACTGAATGCTTCGTCTATCTTTTTATTTTTATTTAAAAAAAGACTCAAACTTGTATAAATACAAATAAACACATTCCCTCTAGCTGAAGCCACAAAAACATCGTCTCATATCTCATGCACTCACTATCTGTGTCTCCTACTTCAACATTACCATGCTCAAATTCTCACGGCAATCAAATCTTACAGCTCAGCAGCTCGACCGGGTATCGAGTTCGAAACCAAGGCCTGCTTCTAAGGTGTGAATCATCTTCAGCAGAAGGGTTGCCAGCAAGAAGCTCAAGGCTTGAAGTAGGGTCTCGCATAATTGTGGTTGAAGCACCCAAAATGATAAAGACGGCAGCATCAGTTCCATGCCTCAGAGTTAATTCTGGCTTGGTCAAGCCTGGAGATTTAGGAAGGTTTGAGCCAAATCTTTTTATAGTAGCTACTAATAATGAAATACTTGCTCTCTGGGCTTGGAATAATATGAGTGAATGACTTCCTTCTCCTTTGCAGAATTGTTTCAAGACGGCCCCAGGATGTGCGGGCTGTTCGTTTGGCAATTGGCACCTATCTTTCAGATGGGAAATACTTCAAAGCTTTGGAATTTGATGAATGATTGAGAATACAAGAGAAGCTCCATAGTCTATACATTTTGCATTTTATTTAATTTTAATTTTAATAAAAATTTTTCTTTGAATGTAATTGCTCTTATTTTGTTGAAATAAAAAGTTTGCGATCATTTGAAATGGAATTTTTTTGGCCAAGGTTTTTTATTCTTTTAATGAAAAATTACGTAATCGATATTAGGAAAAATAATAATAATAGAGATTTAATGGGATTATAACCATTTATAATTTATTTTAAATATGTTCTATGTACTTGTGACATTTCATGATATTCATACCATTTATGATTTATAAAATCAGCTTTATAATATAATGAACTTGAATAGTAAAATTTTTTCGTATATGGAAAATCGAAAAGTGCATAAAAATCTTTATTTATGCATAGATGTTTATAATAAAAAATAAAAAATAATAACAAGGGATATATTTAAAATAATAAGTTGATCTGAATCTTATGCAAATATCAAAATAATAAAAAAAGAAGTTGAATTTGTTCCATGCTGCCATTTTAATTTGTAAAATCAACTTATAATAAAGATGAAAAAATTGACTTAAATAGTCATAGTATCTATATTTAAACACGTTCCTCTCTTGTTAGAAATTTATATTATGAATTTTTTATCAGATATTATGCATTTTGTTAATCTTTTAATATATTAAAATTAATAAAAATATAGTCATAGTTGGCCAAGACTAAAAAATCATGTGGAAAAGAAAAAAAACATGCTCTTCATTGTAAAAAGTTTTAGTCAATTATGCCCTTTTTTTTTTTTTTTCCTATATCAAAATTTTGTATGCGCACGCCCCTTAACCTGCGCACCGCACACCCTCCTGTAAAAGCTGAGCAACCAAATAAACGAGAAAGAAAGAAAAAAAAAAAAATCAACCGCCTTTAATCCTCCATTTTCCACTGCAAGTCAAATTCCTTTCTTTCCATTTTCCTCTTTGAAGCACATGAACTCAAATTATAGTAATGTATCACTATCTATTATTTTTGCTAATTGTTACTGACCCTCTTTTCTTCCTAATTCTCTTACAGAGGCTAGCTACTTCGGTAGTTCATCATGTTCATAAAACAGGTAATCCCTATTTTTTGGTACATTTGGCTTATTAACTTTGAAATTCCTGCATTCAGTTCATTTTTTGAAGATTTTATTATTATTATTATTATTATTATTATAGGTCATCATAGAAGGTTTCAAAAGCTACAGGGAGCAGATTGCGACTGAGCCGTTCAGTCCAAAAGTTAATTGTGTTGGTAATGTTGTATTTACTTAAAGTTACCAGGTGATTTTTTTTCTTTGCTTGTTGAAGGCAACTATAGAGGATGATCTGATTTAGTTGTTTCATATTTTTGTGATTTTAAAGGTATGCTGATTTAGTTGTATGAGAAGTGATCAACATATTTTTTACAAATAATATTCTGTGGACTCTGAAAAATATTAAATAATCAGATAGTTACATGAATTTTATATTGGTGGTAATTTTGGTTTAGAATCTGCATGGGCATCATTTTTCTTCCGCATTCGGTTGGAAGAATGTCCTTAATTTATCGTGTGTGTGTGGAAAATTCCCCCATTATTAAAGAAAATAAACTTTATATTGTAATTATAGCATGAAGATCGTGGAGAACATTTTGATCTTTATTTGCGACCAAGGTTACCCATGTGGTTTTTAAGGTGGTCTTATTACACTTTGAAGTAAATAAATAATTGCACTTTGCTTTTATGGACATGTACATATTCTTTTCTTTTGCGTGTGTCTCTCTGTGTCCGGTAAAATCTTTTGGTCTGTCTTCCTTGATGTCTGAGTTATAATCTGTTATCATTTTTGACTTTGCACTATTTAAATTAGTTAATATCATATCTAACATTTGGTATTTATTTAAATGATGGCTTCTGCAGTTGGTGCAAATGGTTCTGGCAAAACGAACTTTTTCCATGGTAATTGCACTTTTCATTATATTACTTCACATCTATTTGTTGACTGGTGTTTCTTGAATCCAAGTGACATTGAACTTGCTCTTTGGGATTTTATTTTAGCAATCCGTTTTGTTTTGAGTGACCTCTTCCAGAATCTGTGAAGTGAAGATGGGCATGCATTACTACGTACACGCATGTTTCAGAATACATATCTTCATTTTAAACTGTTTTGATGTGGATCTTTCATTCTTTAATTTTAATATATGTCAAAATCAAAGAGAGGTGCAGGACACCAGGTTTTATCTGCCTTTGTGGAGATTGTTTTTGATAATTCATGACCGTCCTAGAACCCAGAATGAGGAACTTGAATCATACAGTTGTCTTGTTAAGGGATACACAATTTAGCCCAAAAGATGTTGCACCTTTTCTTGAGCATTGATTGCTGCAATATGAACCTTTTGCTCTTTGCAGTTCCATCCATAAACTACCTTCCATGATTGATTAACTAATACTGGAAGCTGTCTCCATGAGGAGTTGAACCAAACTGCTGTTTGGAGTAAAAGTGGCAATTTGGCAGGTTGGGTTCGGTTTCAGTTTTGTTTGCATCAATAAATGTTTAGGTTGCTTGTGTATTTTCTTTAAATGGGTAAAGTTAGTCAAATTGAATCAAGGCAATTAAGGTATAGGTCAAGTCAGGTCAATTGGATCAATGCATTTGTGACTGCAGTGTGCATTGCTGTGGAAGTGTGTCCTTCTCCTTTCTTTTAGTAAGTAAACAAAAGCAATTAGTATTATACACAGTAGACTGCATGGTTTTTATTTTTTGCTGCTCAAACTTTATGCCATGGTAAGGAAGAATATACGAGGAAAAAAAGCCTGCAGAATTCATTTGTTTCATAGTGGTTAGAAATGTCTTTAAACAGAATGTGTTCCCTTGGCATGTTGATTTGTCTTTACAGTATTAGCTGATTAAGTAGCTGTTATTAATTTTTCATTTTCTACAGTTCCTTTCATTTACGTTCACCTAATCTCAGTTTGTTTTGATAGCATTTGGTTTGTCTCGTTTTGTTTTGTTAGCATTTGGTTTGTCTCGTTTTGTTTTGTTAGCATTTGGTTTGTCTTGTATAAATCTTGTATATGTGAACTATGCCCCCCATGTCTTTTCTTTGTTTCTAAATGCAAGTAGAGATGAATAATTTTGACTTGCTACTGGATCCTTAATTACTTGTTGTCTAGATATGATTGAACGTCTAGCAGACATGGCAAATACACAATTCATAACCACCACCACATTTCTGTCAGAGCTTGTCAAAGTTGCAGATCAGATTTATGGTTAGACACATAAAAACGGGGTGAGCCTTGTTACTGTTGTCTCCAAGGAAGATGCATTAGATTTTATTGAGCACAGTCAGTCTCACAATACTGATAAAGGTTGGAAGCTATTCTTGTTATTTATACGTTTACTAGTAGGCAAGCGTGAGTTTTTTTTTTTTTTTTTTTTTTTTTTAACGATACTCCCACCTTTAAATTTGTACCGTCTCTTTACCCTTTTTTTCAGTTCTCCAGGTTGACTGTTGATCGTTGGCATGTGTAGAAAAATTCCGAAAACAATCTGTTGGGATGCCGTGCAAAGAATAGATGCTATACCGACTGGAGAGATGTCCTGTGAAATCTTAGGGCTGTACGTTGCTCAATAATTTTTAGCCTTACTAGAATGTGAATGATTAAATATGTTATATGTTGCCTTAGGGGCGCCAAGCTTTGGTAGCATTGAAATTGGCAGCATTGAAATTGCTTAGTGGTTGGAACATATCATTTATAATTATTGCGTTATAATAATTAATCATAATTTAAAATTTTATGTCATAACAATTGTGAACGGTAGATTCTTGTATAAACAATTGATGATACGATAGATTGAGTGGCCGTTATTAAATGAAGTTTTTTTATCTTTTAAAATTAATTCATTTTCGTTTTGTTTTAGAAAATTTACAGCAGTTACTTTTCAATTCTGGTTGTGGGCTTCTGTCAATATTTTCTTTGAGGCACAACATATAAGACTTTTTGCTTGTATTTTTGGTTCTTAAAATAAGTCATTGTTTCTTAATTTTTTTTTTTTATATTTTCAAACTTTTCCTAAAAATAAAAAATGTGCAGTAGATAAATATAAAAAATTATTTATAAGTAGGATGCCTTCTAATACTACAATTATATTCCATAACAATAGCAAACTAAACCTCTTTCATTGTAATAATGGCATTAACTGGTAGTTATTGAGAAAAGGATTGGGAAAAGAGAAAGTCCAAAAACAAAACTGTTAACTATAGACTACGACCATTGAGACAAGACACCTGAGACTAGTTTGTTGACTTGACAGGTTCGGTGGTCAGGCCAAAACCAAATGGGTACAGGGGGTCATAACGAGGATCACCAACATTCATTGGGAGCTGTTCTACAGTCTTGAACCAGGTACGAGGCAGTTTCCCAGTGAATCCGTAGTCTCCAAAAAGAACATCAGCGACTCCTTGGCCTTCCGACCCTGGCAGCCATGCAGCAACAAGTGCATCTACTTGTTCAAGATGGGGCATTACCACCAGAGGTCTTCCGGAAATTAGAACAACCACACACTTGATGTTGGCGCACGCATTGTACATAGTATATTGACCTTGGTCTGGGATTGTCAAGTTCAAATTGTCCCCATGTCCCTCAGCATAAGGAGGCTCACCAATAACGACAATGGCATAGGAGAAGTTGTTAGATTTGACAAAATCAGCGGTAGGGTTCTCTTTATAGACAATTTCTGTGCTCGGATCAACAGCCGCTTTAATTCCTTTGAGAATGGTAGTTCCTGTTGATTAAGGACATTAATACTTTTGTTGAAAACTAAATTACTTGTTTGCTAATGTTGCCATCTTCTAGTATAGAAAACTAAGAGAGAATAACGGTTACCAGCAGTGAGGTTGTTTACGCCAAGTCCTTGCCAAGAGATAGTCCAACCACCACATTGATTGCCCAAATTATCGGCATGGCTTCCAGCAACCAGGATCCTAGATGACTTCTTGGGAAGAGGTAGCATAGGATTATCAGCATTTTCTCCGTTCTTCAACAAAACAAGCGACTTTCTGACAGCTTCCCTTGCCAAATCTCTATGAGCCTGTAACAGAAAACACATAAATCTTGCTACCTGTAAGCTTGTCTTATTGTTAATTGAATCGCAGGAAAAACATATTGGATAATAACCTGGCTTCCAAGATGACCAACATAGCTTTCATCAGCCATGGGATTTTCGAATAAACCAAGTTTGAATTTGACTCTCAAAATCCTCCTAACAGCATCATCAATACGGCTCATTGGAATGAAATTGTTTTTGACAAGTCTGATTAAAGTATCAATGAACTCGGTATGGTTGAAAGGAATAATAACCTGAAAAACAGGCAAAACAACACCTACAAATTAAAATTTGCATTGATAACATTAGGCATAATTGACAAGTTTATTCTTAAGTAAGAAGAAAAACAAAATTATAAATAAATAAAATAAAATTCAAACTGGCCAGAGCCACTCACCATGTCAATGCCAGTTTGGACTCCAGCCAAAACTGAATGTGTATAGTTTGAATGGGAAGGATCTGTAATCCTATCAATACCCTGCCAATCAGAGATGACAAAGCCCTGCAATTTGCACATAAGAAAAGATCAAAAACAATGTTTTACTCCAGTTTTATTAATTTGTGATCTAACTTAATTAGAGTCCAATAAAATTTACCCTGAATCTAAGGGTGCCCTTGAGGAAATTGGTGACAAGATCACGGTGGGCGTGCATTTTCTCTCCATTCCAGCTGGAGTAGGAAACCATAACTGTTGCCACTCCCTTAATGATGGAATCATAATAAGCTGGCATGTGAATGCTAAGCAAACCATGCCTATCAATCACAGTGTTGTTTTCATTGATCCCCTTGGTTGTGCCACCATCTCCCACAAAGTGCTTGGCACAAGCCACAACCTTGTCCCTTTTCCAAAACACAACAGAAAAATGGTTTCAGTTAGATGAAATTAATGAAAGAGCAAAGCGAACTGTATCAACCACCTTCTCAGAATTTGATATATGTATTTTGCCTGTTAACTTACTTTCCGCCAATGTGAGGAACACCCTTGGGTGAATTCTTAGGAAGTTCCCCTTGCAATCCATCTATAATTTCTGTCATTTCCTTGACGATCTTTGGATCTTCACTGTAACTTTCATAACATCTACCCCATCTAGGATCTCGACAAACCTATCATTCAAGAAGATTAATAAATCAACAAACCTTCAATTTTGTAAAAATTGGAGAAGTTGGAATGTATTTCTCTTGATAAAAAACCATGCAGAACTGAAGGTCAATCATCCTTTACCGCAATGCAGGGTGCAAATACATAATTTATGCCGGTAGCTCTAACTTCAAGAGCTGTTGCAGCACCAATCCTCTTTACAAGCTCAGGATCCCTATATACAAGAAATATCATGGAGTAACCACAAAATATAGAATCATCTATGAAAATTTTTGACTGAAACTTAACTGAAAATATGGGAAGGTCTTACCTTGTTGCACCAAGGCCAACGTTATGAGGGAATATAGTGGCCTTATAAACATTGTTATGTCCATGAACAGCATCAATGCCATAAATCATTGGGATCCCAAGCCTGGTTGAAAGTGAACCATTTTGGTAAGCATTAACCATATTGATCCAATCCTGTGGGGTGGCCTGAGGGCCTGGCACGCTTCCTCCTCCACTTAGGACACTGCCAATTCCATAGTCCTTCATGATCTTTGGAGTGGCTTGAGTACGGTCAAGTTGTGCCATCTGACCAACTTTTTCTTCAACAGTCATTCGTTGCATGAGGTCCTGAGTCCGCTTGTTAATGGGTTGCTTAGGGTCCTTGTACTTCATGTATCCAGTTCCTGCTTGTACCGTGATTGTCAAGAAACTGAATAGGAGAAATCCCACTAAGGGTACTGATATTTTTGCCATTTTTTTGCTTTATGATCTCGTTGGCTCAGTAACAATTGAACTTATATTCAGATCAATCTCTGCAGATTCAATGTCTAAAACAAGAGGAAAACAAAAAATGAATGTAAATTATTAATGAAACTTGAGCCTCTTATATTCAAAATAAACAACAAACTTCCATTGCTAAACTATTGAATTGAAGAGATATCGAAAAGAATGTAAAATTTTGTTTCCAAAAACAAAATCAAATGACCCTTCAAGAAAAACTGCTGAATAATTTAAGCTGCAACATCAATCATACTCAAAACTTGCTATGACAATGGTTACAATAAGGGAAAAAAAATAGAAATCCACCTTAAATTGATAGTTAATAGATAGCTGAAAAATTCTGATGGAGTCTGTTTAAGCTTTTATAGTTCCATAAAAGAAATGGAAGTGAAGCGGGATTCATGGTGATAATGTTGTTATGGAATAAGGATATTGGAAGTTCAAAGTTTAGATAAACACAAACAGATAGTAATTTGAACTTTTGGATAATAGAAAATTATATCGGTTACCTAGAATTTTTGGTCTGTTTAGATTTGTTTTGATGGATAATGCACCAATTACTAATCAAATATTCTGACGATGAGCATTACGGTTAGACTTGGAGAGGCTTTTTTTTTTTTTTTCCCCTTCAAATGAATACATGTTTCTTTTAACCAAAGTCCAATAGCAAATTTAATTATTGGTAAAACTCTCTTTGATTTTTTGGTTATGTGATATGATCTAAAGAAACTATATGTGAGATGATTTAAGAGATAGAGAAATGCTAAAATTATTTTTCAATGGACTACTCATAACGGATAAATGTTTATAGATTTGTTGGTTATTATAATTCAGTACTACTTGTGAATCAATGAGTAATCTGCGCTAGAAAAAACTAACATTTATTTTTAGGAAAATTTGTGATAAGATACTCCGACTTATTTGATTGTTTCGGATAAGGGTGGCAGAAATCAACACATCTGCCCTTTGGAGGGAAATAAAAAGGGAAAAATACAAGTTTAAGTAAATCATTTGATACAACCGAGACAGTTTTGAACCATGAATCTCAATAAGAGAAAGTTTGAAAAGAAAATTGTCGCCCCTCTTAGATGTTTCTCGACAACTTGATAGAAAGATTAATAAGTAGAAATTGTTAACTCCTTCAATGATGAGGGGAAATAATCAGAGTTCCTACCATGTAAAAATAGGAAAAAATCATACAAAGCAGCAAGCTCAAGCTCTCAAGTGATTTTAGTTGTGCTTGGTAGGTTCAGTAGTCAAACCAAATCCAAATGGAAAGAGAGGGTCGTAATGTGGATCACCAACATTCATGGGGAGCTGGTCGACAGTCTTGAACCATGTCCTTGCAAGCTTACCGGTGAACCCATAGTCACCAAACAGAACATCAGCAACACCTTGGCCCTCAGTCCCTGGAAGCCAAGCAGCTACAAGTGCATCAATTGATGAGAGGTAGGGCTGCATGACAACTGGCCGGCCAGAGATGACCACAACAACACATTTCGCAGCCCCACAAACATTGTAAATAGTGCTTGGACCAGGTTCAGATATTGTAAGATTCAGGCTGTCACCATTTGTTTCTGCATAAGAGGGTTCTCCCACAACAACAATGGCATAAGAGAATTTGTTGGACTTGACAAAGTCTGCATCAGGGTTCTCACTGTAGGCAACTTGAGTGGTTGGATCAACCGTATTTTTAATAGCCTGGAGGATAGTGGTACCTGTTCATGCAGATTGTATTCTGTCAAATCATTCTAAGTTAACATCATGGAGAAATTTTCCATTAACCCTAGCTATTAACAATTGGTCTGCATCTTTCTGACAGATTGTTTCTTCCATGATACCCGAGACCATAAGACAAGGTAAATATGGGCTTCAACAATGATTAAACTCAACTCAGCCGAAGTGAATCCATTTCAATTTTAGCTAACCCTTGAGATAGAGTTGTTAATAACACTGGCAAATTCTCACAATAGTTCAAATGACAGTTACCACTTGGATTGATTTCAGATGGTGAAATCAGTGCTTGACATCTTTATAATTGATCAAATGGCTCTCATATCCTGTTCTATCAAGTTCCAAGCATGTCACCATGTTTAACAGAGGCAACAATAAAACTTAAATGTTTTTCTGGATCAATTTATTCGTCAAAACCTTTGGGCCAACAAGACCTATATGTTTTAGTTGTTTAATTGTAAATTTAGAACGTACCACTTGTGAGATCATTGCCGCTAAGACCCTGCTATGTAATGGTCCAGCCTCCACATTGATAGCCCAAGTTATCAGCATGACTCCCAGCAACTAATATCTTAGTTGCTTTCTTGGGAAGGGGTAGCAATGGCTTATCAGCAGACTCACCATTCTTCAATAGGGCAAGACTTTTCCTCACAGCTTCCCTTGCTAACTCTCTGTGTTCCTGTTCAAAACACATTATCATTTAGTAAAGTCTATTTGATTCCTTCTTCACCCATAAATGATGATAAATGAAGAGCATCCAAGTCCATTTATAACAATAGAATAGATTCCATTTACCTGACTCCCAAGTTGGTTAGCCAGGCTGTTATCAGCCATTGGATTCTCAAAGAGACCCATGACAAATTTAACCCTCAAGATCCTCTGTACGGCATCATCAATCCTGCTCATGGGAATGATATTGTGCTTAACTTGATAGGTTAGGTCATCAATGAACTCTGTGAAGTTATAAGGAACCATGACCTGCACAAAACCCAAGATTGCATTATTTAACAAAAGCGAGAAAGGTGAATATAAGAATCTTATATGCTTCAAGGTTTCGTGGTTTTGTCTTGGGATTGAGTCTTTATATATATATTATAATCTCTATCCATTAAAGTTTAATGTTCCCGTTAAATCATAAACATTACACATCAAACCATGATCACACTACGCGTTGAGAATCTAGAGGTGACTCTCACTGTGTAACACTTAGCTCTCACTCTCTAGAATTCTAGAGGTGGCTCTCACATTTTTACTGGTAACTACATTAATATTAATCGTGGAGACTTGTATCCAACCTGCAAGGTATTGTACGTTTTGAACCGAAAGTCTTACGATTTTGTCTCACAAAAGGAACCTCACAAGTATTATATTAACTCTATATACCATAATGGATCTTCACATTTTCTAATTTAGATTGGAGGAATTACACAAAATCCAACTTGAAAATTACCATATGTTAAATAAAAATTGGTACAATGGTCGCATCAAATTTTTTAATTGAATGACATAGAAAATAATACTAAATTTTGACTGACCATATCAATCCCAGCACCGACTCCAACTTCTACAGAATAAGAGTAGTTAGCATGTGGAGGAGAGGTAATCCTATCAAGACCCTGCCAATCTGTTATAACAAAACCCTGAAATACACCCAAAAAAATGTGTCAAATCAAATGCTTTATACTGATTTCAGTGAGCAGGGACAAATTTAGTTCAAGTCGATTTTGTTACCCTGAACTTAATTAAGCTTGTTTTTCAGGAACCCGGTCACAAGATCACGATTAGCATGCATCTTTTTCCCATTCCAGCTAGAATAGGATACCATAATTGTTGCAACACCCTTTCTAATAGAGTTAAGATATGCAGGCATGTGGATGCTGAGTAATCCATTCAAGCTAATCACCGTATTGTTCTCATTTATGCCCTTTGTCGTACCTCCATCCCCCAAATAGTGCTTAGCACAGGCTGCCACCTTTTTCCTAGATAAAGAAATTAAATTGATTGGGGGAAATTCTTACTTTCAAAGTTAAAAATTTAAACTTAATCCGACCAATTTGATCAATGACTTCATGCCTAATTTTAAAATGTACATTAGGGGAACCTATAAATCTTCATGACTATTTTAACATGATACCCTTCTTCGCAGCAGCAGACTTCAGCAGCTATCCATATGCTAAATCAGGTAAAGCAGTAAATGGAATTTTCTATTTTGTACTGAACTGGAGTTTGTGCTACCAAATGTAATAGAGAACCAAAGAAAAAAAAAAGGAAATAAAGGTACAAAAATAGCAAAATACATAAAGCTTGAATATAGAAGCTATGGCTAACATTTTGCTTGAGTTTTACCCTGCCTTCTACATAAAGCACTAGATAGCTAACCAATATAGCTAGACGTAACCTCATCTAACTAACAAGTTATGATATTGAAGAGTTTGGTGGAAATAGCACTTTGCTATAGTTATTCAAGTCATGTTTTATATTTAGATAACTAAATGGTGGACAATGAAAGCTTGCCATGTGATTACACCTAAAGATGTCCAAAAAGTTTAAGACAAATATGGCACACTTGTCATTTGGGAAATTGCAATCAAAAGTAATATTTCCCTAAGTAGGGACACTAGAATTATAAGTGGCCGTTTATACTAAAGACTCTTACTTTCCAGCAACAAAGGGAGCACCCTCTTTAGAATCGTAAGGGAGGTCTCCTTGTAAACCGGGTATAATCTCAGTCATTAATTGAACAATCTTATGATCCTCACTGTAGCTTTCATAGCATCGACCCCACCTGGGATCCCTGCAAACCTGTGAAAGATTGACAACAGAAGTAAAAAAAAACCAACAATTAGTACACATGATGTAGGCTTTTCACAATATTCAGTATTCAAGCATGTTCCTGTGTTTAATTACCGCAATGCATGGAGCAAAAAGATAGGGGATTCCTGTTGCTCTAACTTCGAGAGCAGTTGCATCTCCAATCTTCTTGATAAGTTGAGGATCCCTGCAGATTAAATAAAAGTGACTAAATGATTCCAACAAAGAATCATAGAACTATGGATTTGACTTTAGTAGACAGGCAAAGCAGAAAGAAAGCACCCGTAGGCATTCCATTCAAACTTCAGCAATATGTCCACCTGTTTGATTGATAGGGTATGAAAACTCAAATGTCACTTTAAACTTTCTCATTATTCTTCATTCTGGAAATTCACAGAATGTTGCGCATCTTCTTGATATTTCAAAAAGCAGAGTAATGTAGAATACCAAATTTATGGTAACATCATTTGATTATTTTAAGGACAATGCAATTGAAATTGCTCAAAATT